TAATTTTTAATTAAGATAGAAATCGTAGTTACAATTTCATACATAGGAGTCTGGGAGACAGGTTTTTTGAAGTTACACAAATTGTTATTTTTTTTCTCTACATATTGTTGTGGGGTTGGTTTGTTTTTTGGTTTTTTTTTTCAATGCAGTATATTCGTATGTTTTTCTTGGGTTTAGACTTCTTGCTGCTTTTTAATAAGCATGACCTTTAATTATTTTTTGCTTCCAAAACACAAATCAACCTTGAAGGAATATACAAGATTTCTATAGGAACATCAAACAGATCTGGTACTATAGGAAAATAATGAGAAAGTGTTTCAGGGTTCAGGGCTATTTTTTGTTGTTGGTTGAATGCATTCAATGCTAGAATATAAGAGCTTCCTACAGGTTTATCTAAACTTTTAATGATGACTGTGATATCTCAGTGCATTTTTTTTGCTATTTTAAAATGAAAGTTAATCATATTGATATTATGGAATATAAACTATTCATCTTATGGACTGAGATGACACCAATACTTAGCTGATATTAGTTATAATTAAGGTAGAGCAGTTTTCTATCCTTTTTTTAAATTTGTTGCAGTTTGGTTTGGAAGAGAGCAATTTTTAGCTGCATTTATGGTTTTATGTGTAGCAGTTGGTTTATCTTAGAGAAATAGAAAGGAAACAATAAATGTTGTTCAAGATTTGACAGCTGAAAAGAGACAAGAACATAATTCAGTCACCATTTCTGGATAAAGATTAGTAACCCATTGCAGTTCAGGAGTTCAGAAACTGTTTCAAACTTCGTTACGCTTATGAATTTATTTAATCTAACTTCAAAATGGGATTCTAATGAGGAAGAATCACTGAAAAGTAATCTGAAACCCTTAAAAAGTATATGAAGAAAGATCTCAGAAGCTGAAATGTGTACCTTATACTCTGGATGTTTGTGTGATGTTTTTCCTTGAAATTGTGATTTTTGTCTTTTATTTTTACATTTCTACACGTTTCTGTTCCTTTCCCCCTTTACTTTCTGTTGGATTTTTTTTCCTGTCATCCATTCCGTTTCACCTTTCCTTTGCTATCTCTATAACAACCTAACCTGAAAGAGACTTTATCTGGAATATCAGCTCACTGAAATTATAATATCATTTGTCAAGAAAATTACCCTATTCAGAGATAGCTCAGTGATTTATTTAAAAAAAATATTACTGCGAAGAAACAAAATTTCTTTTTCTTCTCTCAGCTTTCTCTATGTTATGTGTGATACCACTTAAAATACCAAACACTGACAATGTGTTTTGGTGATGATTTTGGGGGGGTTTTTTGATATGGTATTTGTTCGTATTCTGGTCCATGTTTTTATCCATGCTGCGTTGTGATATGCTGGATAAGTCAGTTCATCTGTCTTACATATACACATATTGGGCAAGTTTTATGGATTAGCTCCTTAACAGAGGGAAACTCAACTGAACCTGTCCCATAAAACGTTAAAATTGTTCATTATCTAAAGATTATGTGCTGCCCTTGACTTGCCTGTGTGTGCTCACGCCAACATCTCTCTACATCTAGGGCTAAATACTTCTGAAAACACCCTACAGTGGTGTAATTCTAACAATGCTGACTCTGTGTTCATAATTCATTCCATGTAAATGCACATAGATAACTCACAATTCCCTTCAGGATAACCACAGCTTGGTGAGCATTTGCTTGCTACAGCAGGGGTTTTAGAGTATGGTTACTCAAATGAAAATATATTGGTATTTGTATTAGGAGTGTCATTATAAACTATTAAGTTAAAATCGCTGATCATGCTGATGTTGAGAATCATTGCTAGATAACTGTTCAGTCATTAAAATATTTGAAAAGGGATTTTTGGCCTCCATATAAAAATGCTGCAGTATTACATGTGGGTTTTATATTTTTGCCTCCAGAGTGTTAAGGAATTTCTTCCATAAAGCTTCATCCCTTTGGGGACTTCTTTAAAAAAAAAAAATCCAACCAAAAAACCCAAAAAACCCCAAAACATTTGTATTCAATTTCTTCATTCTGAGATAGTTTGTGTATACTCACTAATATGTCATTTTGTGGATTTAGGCTTATTACTGGCTTACCTTTTCTGTAGCTCTCCCAGATTTCTCATGGTTTCCTTCATAATGGTGTTGAGATACTTAAAGCAAACTGTGGTTAAGGACTGATTACATAGAAAATGCAGCATATGCTTGTCTTATCTACATTTAGTGTGCCAAAATTTTAGTTTCCTTATTAGTTTTGTGAGAGCAAAGCGTGTAGTGTGAACATATATTTGCTTTGTTCAAGGGAAATTGCCAGACAGTAAATAGTTCACTTTTTTGGGGGGTTCAGTTTCCTGTAGAGAATGTTGCTATTAAAAAGTATGTAAAAATATACTTTTTTAAAAAAATAAATAAATGTAACAACTGAAATCTTAGTGAATAAATCAATAAATACCAATCAGTGCTTTTCATTTCTGAGCTGCCCTCCTTACCATATGTTTCTACTATTGCCCATCTTATGCTTCTCTAGTTATTTCTTACATGTGGGGATAAATCTTAGTTTAAATTTATTTCACTGAGGCAAAAATGTAATTGAAACACATTGGAATCAATACAAACTATATAAAAACCCATGAATTATTTTTCTAGCCCGCCAGGTACTAATATCTAATATCACTGGTATCTCATGAAATGCTGTAATAATTTTTCTTTCGATGAGTAAGTAAATATTTCAGCACAGAAAGAAAAACATTTTTCTCTTTTCCTTGTATTCTTTTCTGTATGAAGAATTTTCTTGATTCTTCGTTCGCTTTTTTCCTCTCAAACTCCTCAGTCATGATCTTTTGTATCAGAGAAGCACAAAGTAGTAATGCAACTACAGTTTTCATATAAAGGAGGACACACCTGGAGGAATGAATTGAAGTAGTTATTTTACATTAAATGCCTTTTTCATACTTGAAAAAATGAGGACTGTATTGGTAAAATCCTTTCAGCAGGTCCCTAACTTGCTAAAGATGGACTGAGAGCATTCCAATGTGTACAAATCTGTTTCAGTTGCTCCGAGGCTTCCTCCTCAGAATAGTTAATTTGTGTTATTTCCCTTTTTGGATTGAAAATACAACAAAAATTGTGGATCCAATGAATGTTTGTTACCCTTTCACATTGTGAGGTCTGCTTTTACTGCTATTCAGATGGTCCAGAAGTAGTGGGAATGATTACACAGAACTTCACTGTTTCATTTGGAATGTTTTTCCATGGATTCCCCTCCCGCAGCCTGTTGTGCTGCATCCCTGTTGCTGGGTTCTTTTACCCCCGTACACGGGAAGGTGAGCTGGTGCATTTTGCCAGTTCAGTTCTGGTTTGATTTGCCCAGCATTGCAACCATTTCAGTTCAATTCCAGTTTAGGTCAAAAGGGTTTGCTGTGACCCAGCTGGGTTTTCATGGAACAAGATGTTCAAAGGTGGAACCAGTCAAATGTCAGGGATGTACTCCCAGCGCAGGGCTCTGAGAAGGTGGCATCCACCTGCTCCCTCTTGCTTTCCTCTATTCATGTTGGTATCAAGAGCGTTTCAAGTTTTTAATCCTGTGTTGGAGATGTGTAATCTGCACCAAAGAAAGAGGTGTGAAAAGCCTCCCTACTGGGACGTGTTGGGAGGGTGCAGAAGCCCAGCAGAGGACTGAGGGCTGTGCTGTCCCGTGGGTGAGGCGGGAGCTGAGGCAGAGCAGTGGGAGCACAGGCTGTGACTCGCACAAACCCTCCCTGTAACCGCCGCGGCTCTGCTTCAGTCTGTCAGCTTTCTGTTGAACCATTTGTTCTGCATTGGCAACCAGAAATATTTTTCTTGGTTCACCTTCCATTACAGCTCAAGCTGTATACCAATCAATATGAACTCTGATTTAATTTTGATTTATATCCAAAGACTCGATAAATGTGAATACCGTTCCGAAGAGGGAAAAAAATGCATGCATGGCTTCCCACTCTGTGTGTGAGAGTCTGGACCTCACTTGCTTCGTGATACAAAAATATTTGAAAATATACACGTGTACCAGTGTCTGATAGATCAAAGAAAATTAAAAGTAATATATAGACTATTCTGTGACAATCGTTCCTTGTTTAGTTTTGGGTTGTGTATATGAATGTTCAAGTAGATTAAATAAAAACTGGAAGGAGGTACTTCCATAGTTAAAATAATCTGAACTATAAAGAATTCTGAGTAAAACCTTAAAAAGGATATAATGTCATTTCACAAAAGAATATCTGCAGCAAACCCCTATGTAAATTAGATTTTTCAGGTACCTGTGTTTTGGTCTGATCATGTTTTTTCCCATCAAAGATGATAGTGTTAAGGAACAGTGACTACTACAGAGAATTTAGGATATTATTAAGTATTTTTATTACTATTAAAAATACTGCTGAATTGCTGTCATTCAGTAAATATTACTTCTGTAATTGCGGAATAATCTTCTTGTGAGAATGCACCAAGGTAGTATATAAAAACACTTCAAATCTGCTCAGTAAAGAAACCTAGTCTCCATTTTTCTAATCTCATCTTTGAAGTCTAATTTTTTCGGTTTCTTGAAATCAAGTGCATTATTAGGGAATGCCTCCTATTCTAATGTTAAGTCAGATTTGAAAAGGGCACCTCTGTGGAAATAAGGTCCAGTGTGAAAGCAACTTTGTGTTCTTTAAAAAATCAGTTTTGGAATATGAGCTGCAGGATGCTGAGCACTATTGGAAAAAATAACATTTTTATTTCTCTGTTTATTGATAGTCGAGTTGTTTTGAGCATTTTGTGCCACCAATAATGATTTAGAAAGGGTTTTAAAAGCTTGATCAGTTTTTATTTTTTCCTAAATCTGGATAATTTATTTCTATTTAATAAAGTGTCATAGCAGATAAATTACACAATGCTCAAACAATCTCTGTTTTTATAAAGGAGAACTCTGTTATAAATATGTTATCTGTTATTTCAAAAACACACTTTTTTTTTCTTCTTTTTTCAGCGTCTTGTTGAAGCTGCAGAAGATGCTTACCTGAAACACGAATTTGATGCTGACTTACAGGTAATTAATAATTACTTTCTTGAATGTTTATCATCAGAGTACACTCTGATATAAGAGTTTATACAATAGCTTACTTGAAGAACTGCTATAGAAAGCCAAGCATGTGAATAATAGATGCTGATTACAGCAAACGGAATTAATGAAGGCTGGCTCAGTCTTTTGACAGGTTATATATTTAGTGGATGTGTGTTGGGACACCAGGCAGGTGGATTTTACTCTTGCAGAGGTTTCATTTAAATTCCCTCGCATTTCTGCGGAGGTCAAGGTTTTTAAGCACAGTAATTAGCAGCATGTTCCGTCACTGCAGTGAACTGGCAAGGAACTGCTCTGTAGAGACTTGGATTTGCAGATGGGGTGGGACCCACAGGGATGGGATTAGTATGACCTTGATTTGTGCAAGTGGTTTACGTTTGGATCTGTGTCCAGAGCAGGCACTGCTTTTTCTCTTCCGTGCAAATCCTTAGAGCTGTACCACTGTTGTGTGTTGCCTTTAGGAATAACACGGGGTGTGGGGGGGGAGCAGCACTGTGGCAGCTCACAGTTAAAAATGTTTAAAAGAAAAGCCTTTGATTAAATAAGGCACGTAATTTAAAAAAAATAAAGATTAATTTAACCCCCAAGTAATTTAGCCTAAAATTGAAAGTTTAACAGCAAGTCTTACTCAATGCTTAAACAAGTAAATACTTCCGTACCTTTAATGAATTCCTATATCCTTAGTTTCTTGAATACCGTGTTAGGTGGAGTTTTGTTTGCTTTGTCTCTACCTAGATGTAATTTTAAAACCTTCTGTGAATATTTACTGTAAGTCTATTTAAATTTTTGGCTTAAGCATTAAGGGAAACAGAGACTTTTTCCACAGACTTTTTCCCATACATGTATCTAAGAAATAAACAGATCTGTAGGTTCTGTTTTCAGATTTTACCATGGTTGTGTCCAGTAATCACAAAACCTTTTGATTTAATGAAAATATGACACAAATTACTTATTTCTGTGCAGAAAGGGAAAAAAAATAGAGTGAATTGACCAGAGCCTAGGATAAAATAATTGAGCTCAGAAGGCTGTAATACTGGGGTCTATCAGCCCACAGTGGAGTAAGGATAAAATGAGCACACTGAAAATGATAATTCACATTATTGTTGTACATTTGATGAGCACTGGCTTCTGTATTCAAATGCTTTAGAGTTCCCTCACATTCCGACCTTGCAGAGGTGTGCTGCATTTTGGTTTTTTGAACTTTAAGCCTTGGAGAAATAGGAGCTATTGTCTGAATAAATCAGAAACACACTTCATGGAAGATCTTTCAGAGGGCTACAGTAAGTGCTTCTTCTCTGCAGGATAGTTCTCACTTTGAGGAAGTCCTTGGTTTGCTGAGGCTCTGGCGATATTAACACTTTCAGGAAGGCAGTTGAAAGCCATTTGTGTCAGCAGCATTAACAGGACAATCAAATCTTTGTGTGGAGCTGTGTTGTTTATTACTGTCACGGTCCATTAAAGCTAATCAATTGTTAATCTTGGTTTCAGCGACCTCTTTGCAACCCTTGCTGGGTGATTGTTGTTCTTTATCAAAATCTCATAATACCATCTGCTCAATATAAAGTAATGGCCAGGATGATTTGATAGTGTACATTCAAGTGGAGGGGGACAGAAGGCTTATATAATCTACAGTGTATACAATTCTGCTCTCAAAGAGGAATTTTCTGGCATTTGTATTGCTTTGGCCGACGTGTGCAAGACAGGATTAAGTGCTTTGAATTAGTGATACGTGATACAGCACCAGCCTGAGCTCTTTGTGCTCAGATATTCTGGAAATTCAGAAAGCACATAAAGAAAGTCCTTTTGTGCTTTTTATTTGTCCAACATCACCTTCTACATCTTGAGGACAGTATAGATAATATTGTGTTAGTACATAAAAATGATATAAGGGAGAAATAAAATTATATTAATATTTTTATTGACTGTAGAAAAGCACCAACTTAAAGAAAATAATAACTGGAAGAGTTCACCTTTTAGACTGCTGGTATTCTCTTCAGCAATGCTGAAACTATATCATTTGGTTAGGCTAGACCTGATCCCTTCTGGGCATTTTTCTTAGTACGTTATTAGATTTGTCCTTAGATATTCCATAGGTATTCTAATCAATATACTGTAATGCTGTGTGATGGTCTAAGCACTCAACTATCAAACCCTGAACTGAATCCATTGGCATCACCAAAAAACACCTTATAGTCCTAAACATAAATAAAATTCCCAGACAATTGAAAGAAATAAATCAAAAGGGGTGATGTGATGTTTAACTCATCAGCATTATGTATTGCATATTTGAGTAATGGCTGAACTACGAATCAGTGAGAACAGACTAAAGATTTACTCTCCAATATTTATGCTTTAGGAGATTCTTCTTTTTTTTTTTCCTGTTAGGGATGTGAACCAAGAGCTGCATTTGTAGCAAATTATGAGGAAAAAACCTTCTAAATGTTACTTCTGTTTGAGCCTTTAACCCAGTCCAGGGTTTTCTCACCTCGTGGATATGGTTCCAAGTTACTCTCTCTTATTAAATACTATTTTCAAGTTTGTAAGTGGAATCACTTTAGTCATGCCTAATAATGTACTTGGGGATGAAAGATGAATTAGCATTTGTATTGCTACAGCAAGTTGCCCTGTCACAATATATTCACAGGCATAAAGAACTGTTCACCTTGCTTTATATGGGGCACTATCTCTGTGCTCACCTCTGTTTAAAATAAAGCAATTCCTCCTGATTTTCTGGTTTTAACACAATGAAAAAAACCCCAATATAGAGGTGAACTGCCAAGCACACACCCACCAAGAATATCGGATTTTGCAGGTTTTGAAGTGATTCTACAACCATAATTTACCTTTCTTGACTTAATTGTTTACCAAAGAAAAATTTTTGGAGAAAGATAATAAAGAGGACAACATCTTCTGTTGGGAGGTGATCTATTAAAAAGAACTTTCAAATACCATAATCGTTGTTAGCTGAAATTCGGCCTCCTGATCTTTTACTGCCTTGTGCTGGGGTGTGTGTTCCTAAGGTGTGAACTGCCTTGTTGTGGTTCTCAGAAACTGTCAGGGAGTTGGTGTTCAGGCCCTGGGAAGAGGCTCTGAAGTGGAAAACTCTTCCCTGGAGCTGTCATGTACCTAAGAATTTGTTGCGTATGCAGCTGATATAATCACACAGGTGTAGAGGCTCTCTCCTCCCACCACATCTCCTAAAACCACGAGAAACCGGACAGATTTTGTAGGGTAGAAGTACACCAAGGGGTTGCCCAGCTGCTGCTCTCGTGCAGTTGGTGGTGAGGTGGCAAAGCACACTCAGAGTGCTCCTGAGGGATCTGTTTGTGTCACTGGGTCTGAGCCCTTTGGACAGAAACGTGCAGAGTATTGTTTCCACCTGAACAGAGTGAGGGTGGGATCCCTATCATGGAGCTGGATCATTTCTGGTTTTCCATAATTTCAGGATGTGGATGCTCAGCAGTGGGACTGATGCTGGAGTTCTCAATGGAGCTGTAAAAATAACTTGTGCTTTGTTTCTTACAAACTTTAAAAAAATAATAATTTTAGAATAAAGATTTATAATACTTGGTTCCTACCCAGTTTTCATACTTCTGACTCCAATGACAAGAGGAAGTCATACAAAATTTCATTATGACTACTTGTTCATTTGCTGACTGGTTCCATTATAAATACATATCTGCAGGGTAGTTCTTTTATTTTCTGTGTGTTAATTAAGTTCATTAGTTCACTTGACTTACATTCCTGCTGAGCTTTCTCTGCATGTGTGTGATGTGATGATAAAAAAGCAAGGTTATTGTAATAGAACCAAAGCTGGTGCCTAGTTGATGCACTGGAATTACTAGATTTTTTTTTTCCTTCCTGGTTGTTGTAGTTTCACTTTCTGTACAAGACAGGAGAGATTCAGGTGCCAGTACTTTAAGATAGTTGAACTTATTTCAGTTTTATGTCCCAAGACTAGAAGAGGATTAATAAAATAGTTTTTAGGAAAAGATTACTTTCTTTTAAGAATACTCTTAAAGTTAATTTAGTGGGATAAAAAAGGAATAATGGTATAAGGCTGCTTTTCATTATTCATTTCCTTTAGATCTATAACATATGACAGAGCCTTAAGGAAAAGATTTGCAAAACTGTACCATAGTTAGGTACCTGTTTGCCAGATTTTGCTGTCTGTTAACTCCAAATTGCATTTTGTGTCCTTGAAAAATCTCACCCTGACCCTCAGACTGTATATGTTGGCTAAATAAAAAACATTGTGAAATCAGCAGATGGAGAGTTAAGGGGTTTCCAGTGGTTTACACATGTGAACAGTGTACTTTTTTATACATATTTAATGATTTTTGAAAATGTACAAATGGTAAGACTCCAAATGTTTAGGAGAAAGCACAAATATCAAAAGAGGGCTGAGGAACAGAATTAGTCCAGTTAATGTACTTTACAGCTTTTAGGTCTAACCTTCCAACTGTTAATATTGCTCAATAGTTTATTGTTGACCTTCAAAGGGAGCTACCTGACTTTTAGTAATTTTGAAATTCAGCACTTAGATCTAAAGCTTACATATGGATATAAAAGCATAACTTAAATTGCTGTTACTTTAAAATAAAAAAATCTGACCTAAATGTTTATTTAGTATAATGACGCCAGGCAAAAATTTATAATGATGGATTATTAAATGCTTAGGGATTTAATCAAAATTTAAACAAATAGATGGTAATTACATTGACATCAGGTACTGGAAAATACAAGGACAAAAGATAATTGAGAATAGCTATTCCACATAATCTTATTAAACTCCTATTATAACACAGGCATTACTTTTATGTTAGTATTTCAGAAAAGTCTCTTTGCATATTTATTATCTCACTAATATTGCATGAGGCACATGATAACAAGATTTACAGTCTATTAATATTTTTCTGGCTGTTAGAATAATGTCCACAAGTCTCAAGTCAGCTCTTGAAGGGTCC